CCTGACAAACTTAGTTTAAAGCCCGCCGGAGGAGGTCAAGTGATTACAGCGGCCAGTTTGGATCCAAGTTAGAACTTTCTATTTTTTTTGCGGAAGGTCAAAACCAGGAGGCTTTCTTGTTGAGTCGAAAATTAGATGTTTGTTCCTAATGTTGATTTCATCCCACGCTTTCCTCCTGTGTGCTTGCTGTTTGTGAGTGAATCCTGAATTCAGTCTGTGTCTTGTTTCCTCACACTTTTTGCAAAATAGTTTATGGGAACACATTTTTCAATATAGTGCTCGTGGATGGTTCACTTTGGACATTTGTCATTCATAAATCATAGTGCTAGTGACCACTCAGGTCATGTACTGTTGTGTCCATTAAGAAGATTACTAGACATTTTAAAATAGGAGAACAATGGATAATAACAGTGAGGATGATGAATAGTACATTTCAGGTCAGAGTTCTATGATTCATGGTAAACTTTGAACATTTTGGAATACTTTCAAATCTACAGAATGAAGAAACACTATTACCCCACAAGCAACAGGTGGACAAACTTATCACCTTATATATGTTAAAAAGCTGAAAATCCCCTTCTCTGGTATTCAGCCAACTCTGTGTGTCTAGTCACAGGAGATTCCTGAGCAAAATGACTATATTTTACCTCGTTCAAGAACATAAGGAAACAGACAATTGAAAAAGATCATTATAGCACATATATTAAAAGTTTTCCCTGTAGTAAGGCTCAGATTTGCCACAGATGGTGGTACATCTCCCTTGAAGAGTGGCGTAACACCTCCTCAGTTCAGAAGCAAAGGCAGAAGCTAGTTGAACGGAACCAATCATCTGGCCTTGGGGTTTTTGTCCATTTTTGGGCTTTCCTACTCCAGGTTCAGTATCAGCCAGTCAGAGGGGCCTTTGTTCTAAGTTCTGAATGGGCAAATGGATCTTCTGAGCCTCTGCTGTGAGGGTGAGTCATCACAAGTAGGTGCTTCAGTGTTGAAGTTCACTAATTAGGTACTGATGACATCTTTAGAATTGTCCGTCCCCTGCTGCTGAATCCCAGAGGCACCCACGTTTCTGCCAGTGGGGATGCATGAAGTTGACTAAATGCTGATAGTACCTTACAGCTACAGAGCTGCACCAAGTCCTAGCTCAAGCCAAAGTACTCTAAGGCCTGAAGCAGGATTCTCAGACACTCCCAACCTGCCTTGCCAATAAAGTAAAGCCTGGGTGCATCTACACATTCATTAATATGCTGTAGGTACTGCTCATTAAGTTTAGTACTTGCATAACCTGGTACTAAATCAATGAGCAGTAACTGGCACTACTGCAGTAGTGCTGGCGCATGGGTTTTTAAAGACACTATCTGTTCAGTAGCCCAGTACTACCATGCAGTAGCATATTAGGATGACTTTTGACCGGCATGTGACTGTGCAGTGTTATTAGCCTACTGTGGAGTTAGCATCTCATGTGGACACACCCTCTGATACCATAGGCATATCTAAAGCACCTTTAACCTGTCTGTGTATTACCTCAGGACAGATATTTAAGGCACTACCTTTTGTTGTGGGAGATGTGGATTCCAGTCCATGGTCATAGATTTGAGCAAGTATTTGAATCTGTCTCTAATCTCACAGGTGTTCTCTGATCAACAGATAGTTGAGTATATCAACATGTGGGAAGCTGTTTTCATTTTCTGCAAACTGGGATTAGGCATCTCACTGAATTCAAGGCTCAATTTGCCAAGCTGAGAAAAGTACCTGCTTGACCAGAAACAGGCAACCACATGTAGCCAGGTCACCTGCTTAAGTGCTTGAGCCTAGTCCTTTCCTGGCTAGCTTAAATGGCTCCCTGCTCAGCTGGAGACTGGGTACCTGCCTTAGCTATGATTAAGGATTCTACGATGTGGCAGGATGTCGTGGAATTAGTTGTTGCAGTGCTGAGCCGAACACTGAGCCAAAGTACCACCAAGGTCCTAATCATAGGCGTTTCACATGGTGGTGGTGAGGGGGCAAGCTGTAGCTTAGCTCCTGGAGTGCTGATATCTTGAGTCTTTCGGATACTTATTGGCATTAACTTGTTTCCTTTTGATGCTGGTCTACAGGGCCTTCATTCTCTTCTAAGTTATTGCACATGAAAAATGAGTGAGTACACTTCCAAATGCTGCTTTTTAGTAACTTCCAAAATATTATTAGGCCTTTGGGACAGTTCATTTGAATCGTTTTTTGAACCAAGAAACACTAACTCTGAAACAACAACTGGACAAGCTCACTGGCATCATTTTTTTTTTCTTGACCTTTTGCACAGTGAAAAATAGATGGCTTCAAATTTACTATTTCCTTCTTTGTGTACTTCATCATGGAATAGATCTGAAATAACCATTTGGGTAATCTATCTTGGATTTAAATTGCAGTCTGTCACCATGGTATTGGTGCACCTTCTGTGTAAAATCAATAAGTGCTAATAAAGTCTCTTCAGAGGGTTTCAGGTTCTTCTTTTCAGAATATAAAATATCTGCTGGAGAGAGAAACTTTCTTTGTCTATTAGTTTCAGAACCTGTTTTGTTCTTGAAATTCGGGCGTGTATAATAGGGGTTGTAATCCATTTCTTGTTGGGGTGGAGAGGTTTTTATCAAAGAAGGTGTACAGTGGAAATGATTTTGAGAGGCATGCTGTATACAGACATTGAGCGTGCATAAGAAATTCTCTCTCTCTCATTTCATCACAGTTGAAAGTTAGTCGGACTATTTATTGTTTTTTGTTCAATTTTCCATAGCTTACCTGTTAACATTAAAATAAACAGTTTAGTTTATAAGCATCAAATCCAGGGCAGAGGTGCTTAGTGTCTAATGAATCTATGTAATTATCCCCTGATAAATTCAAATGTACAGCATTCTCAGGGTATTTCATGCAGCAATACCTCTAACTGCCACATTAATCCTATGAAGCTATGTCCTTTTTCAAACTTTTTAAAAGTCAGGCTGGATAAAAATACTCCTTCTGCTGGATTAACTCCACAGGTAAAAGTTCAAGTGAGTAATTAGTGACTGTCTATGTTTTTGAATTATTTTCCTACCTTGTGATAGTTGAATTATTAACCTTTTAAAATTTTGAAGTATACCACCAGGCAGATGCAGCCCCACTTTCTAAATCTACTACAATTTTGGATGTGATCACTGTACTGGGGCTATCTGTTCTCCCATCCCAAGACACTGCATAAACTCCTTGGCAACTTAGAACATAACCTGTGCTTCCTAACATGCAACACAATGTTCACTGAACCCATTGATAGAAGAAGCATAGAAAGAATTCAAAATAATATTAAACGTGATGTTAGAGTTCAGTAACAGTTGCAGAGAAAAAGCTCTTCTAGCTGAGCCCATCAGAGCACAATATGAACTAAGACATTGTCTTGGAAATTTGCTCTGTTAGTGCTGCCAGTGCAGAGGCTCTCTTGTAAGCATCATAGTAACAGGCCCTGCACGTGGCCTTTGCATGACCTCTGGGCCTGTCACTCAAGGGTGACCTAGTTTCCCTGTCAGACGCATGCCCAGTGTGAGGGAGGATAACAGTGCGCATGCCCAATTATGTTATATAATCAGACTAGAAAGTTCTGTGGAGTTTACATTCTGATTGGCTACCTAAATTCTGATAAAAGCCTAGTGAGCCCC